CCTTGCAAGCTACTCTGCCTTTAATTTTAAATATTTTCAGATAGTGAAAGTGTTACATTCAAAGCAATTTTTGCAAAATACTCAATTTAGTATCTTCCTCTCTCTCTCTGTATGTGTGTGTGTGTGTGTGTATATATATATATATATAGTTTTTTATTTATTTATTTATTTTGGCAGAAAAATACCTAAGGAATAAACTAAGATAATTCTATTTAATATGCTAATATGTTATTGACATGTTAATATTAAAAATTAGACATTGATTTGATAGAAAGGAAAATGGAAATAAATTTTTACTTACTCAGACCAGTTTCATAAAATCTCATTATTGTGTGTAGTCGATGTTAAGATTTCAAGTGGATTTTAAAACTGGAGTAGTTCTTTCCTTAGTTCCAGAGCACCTGGTACTTGCTTAATAGTGCAAGAGAAAATTATACCCACCAAAAGCAATAATGCCAGTGGTTTGTTTCTGACTGTAATATTAAGAAGTATGAGTCTTGAAATCCCATAAAATGACTATTTTAGCAATTCTCTGTTTGCCTATGTGTGTTTGTTCGAGAAAGAGAAATATATTGAACTCACATTTACTCGGCAGCTATGGTATGCCATATACTGCCTAAGCTCTAGAAATACAATAATGAACAGAACAGAAGGGCCAGTCCTAACAGAATTCTCACTGGGTGGTAGAGAGGGTAGTCAAGAGAGGAGAGAGAGGCAAAGATAAACAGAAAGAGATAGACATCCTGTTTCTGTATCAGGACTTGACCCAGAAGCCACAGATTACCAACTGAACCATGGCACCCAGTCATCAGAGAACTTAATATTGATCCGTTCATCTATCTATTCACAGCTTACATTGAGATCCTTATGCCTTTAGGCTCTTGCTGAGAGCTGAGGACGTAACAAAGTCAACACAAAATGTTCAGCCCCCTTACCCAGATTATACCTTCTCTCAACTTAAACTAACAAATGTTTATTAAGTGAATATCTATTATGTGATCCAATGGTGGTTATCAGTCATGGCCGCAATTAGAATTACTGGAGAGCCTTTAAATAATACCAATTTTTGTGCTTCACTTACAACCAATTAAATCAGAACCTTAAAGATGATATCCTGGCATCAGTGTCATTCCAAAGCCCCAGTACAACTCTAATACACAGCCAGAGTTGAAAACCCATTTCCTATCAGGTGCCCATAGGGAGAGAAAAAGAAAATGTAAGAAAATTTTTTTTACCTATATTTGTTAAAAAAAAACTTTCTGGAATTCCATAAAGAAGGTGGAAGAAGCAAACATTTAATTTTCCTTCTTATTTTCTCCAACAGATAAATATTTGTTTACTCCATCTATGCAGAGAGAAAATGAAAACAGCATAAAATCTGCTCCTTCCCTCAAGGAGCTTAAAAATCAGTTCCTTCCCTCAAGGAGCTTAAACTTTGGTTGGAAATAAAAGGCAGAGACTTTTGAGAATTAAATAAAAATACAAGTACTCCAGAAATACCCTCAAATGACAAACACCCTCATAATCTAGTCCATGAGTTCTCATAAAGACAAATATCACTGGGGATCAGAAGCTTTTTCTGATATAAGACCAAAAAAATTTCTCCCATCTCCCCACATAAGGGAATATAACAGGAAATATGCTCATTCTCATTCATTATGCCATAGAAAATTCCCACAAATTTAAAAATAAGTAGCCTATTCTTCTTTAAAGAGAGAATATTATCATTAGAAATGTATGGGCATTTCAAATGGCCAATCTACCTATGTGTGAATTGTGAGGCCTCCTTGCAGGGGCACACAACTTTCCAAAGGTTTTAAAACATTCAGTCAATGTCCCTCATGAAGTTTTAGGAGTAATAATAGTAATTGTTCCAAGGTATATTCCTGTCGCTCAAAATATATGAAGTGATTTTATAATTTTTTAATGGATTTTAAATTTATCTTTTTTATGTTTATATATTTAGGAGGTACAAGTACAAATTTCTTACACGCATATATTGCATTATGGTGAAATCTGGGCTTTTAGTATACGGGTCACCCAAATCACAGATATTGTACCCAATAGGAAATTTTTCAACCCTCGCCCCCTGCCACCCTCCCACTTTTTGCAGTCTCTAATGTCTGTTATTCTACTCTATGTGTCCATGTGTATCCATTGTTTAGCTCCCACTTATAAGTGAGAACATGCTGTATTTGACTTTCTGTTTCTGAGTTATTTCACTGAGGATAATGGCCTCCAGTTTCAACTATGTTGCTGCAAAAAGACATGATTTCATTCTTTTTTTATAGCCAAAGAAGTAGTATTCTATGGTGTATATATACGTATATACATGCACATATATGTATATACCACTTTTTCTTTATCTAGACCTCCATTAATGGACACTTAGGTTAATTCCATATCCTTCCTATAGTGAATTATGCTGTGTTAGAAATACAAGTGCAGGTATCTTTTTGATATAATGATTTCTTTCCCTTTGGATATACACCCCAGTAGTGAAATTGCTGGATCAAAAGTTCTACTTTTAGTTGTTTGAGAAACCTCCACACTGATTTTCATAAAGGTTTTACTGATTTACATTCCCACCACCAGAATATAAGCGTTTCCTTTTCTCTACATCCTCGCCAACATCTGTTGTTTTTTCACTTTTTAATAATAGCTGTTTTGACTGATGTAAGGGAGTAGTATGGTTGTAATTTGTATTTCTCTGATAAGTAGTAATTTTGAGAATGTTTTCATGTTGTTGGCTGCTTGTGTGTCTTCTTTTGAAAATGCTCATTTTTTTTTTACCTACTTTTAAATGGGTTTTTTTTTTTCTTGTTGAGTTGTTTGAGTTCCTTGTAGATTCTGGATAATACCCCTTGGTCAGATGTGTAGATTGCAAATATTTTTTCCCATTCTATAGATTGTCTGTTTACTCTGTTGATTGTTTCTTTTGGTGTACACAAGCTTTTTAGTTTAATTAAGTCTCATTTGTCTGGTTTTGTTTATATTGTGCTCGCTTTTGAGGACTTGATCATAAATTCTTTGCCTAGGCCAATGTCTAGAAGAGTATTTGTTAGGTTTTTTTCTAAGATTTTTATAGTTTCAGGTCTTGCATTTAGATCTTTAATTTATCTTCGGTTGATTTTTGTATATGGTAGGCAGTATGATCCCAGTTTCATTCTTTTGAATGTGACCATCTAATTTTCCCAGCACCATTTATTGAATAGTTTGTCATTTCCCCAATGTATATTTTTGTTGCCTTGACAAAGATCACTTGGCTGTAGATATGTGGCCTTATTTCTGGGTTCTCTCTTCTGTTCCACTGATCTGTGTAACATCTTTATACCAGTACCATGCTATTTTGGTTACTATAGTCTTGTATAATCTAGTAAGGTAATGTGATGCCTCCAGTTCTGTTCTTTTTGCTTAGGGTTTCTTTGGCTATTTGAGCTCTTTTTTGGTTCCATACAAATTTTAGGATTGTTTTTTCTACTTTGATGAAAAAGGACATTGAGATCTGATAGAGATTACATTGAATCTGTAGATTACTTTGGGCAGTGTAACCATTTTAATGATACTGATTCTTGAATCCATGAGCATGGAATGTTTTTCCATTTATTTATGTCATCTATGACTTCTTTCAGTTTTGTGGCCTGAAACTTTACTATTTCATTTGTCAAATCTAAGAGTTTTTTGGTGGAGTCTTTAGGGTTTTCTAGATATAAAATTATATCACCAGGTAACAAGAATAATTTGGCTTACTCTTTTCCAATTTGAATGCCTTTTATCTCTTTCTCTTACCTGATTGCTCTGGTGAGGATTTTATATTGAATAAGAGTGGTAAAAGTGGGCATCCTTGTCTTGTTCTAGTTCTTAGACATAATATTTTCAACTTTTCCCCATTAAGTATGATATTGACTGTGGGTTTGTCATATATGGTCTTTATTATGTTAATGTATGTTTCTAGTCTGTTGAGGATTTTTATCATAAAAGGATACTGAATTTATCAAATGTTTTTCCTGCATCTATTAAGATAATATGGTTTTTGTCCTCAATTCCGTTGATGTAATATAACATGTTTATTGGTGTACATATGTTGAACCATCCTTGCATCCCTGGGATAAATTCTACTTGATCGTGGTGTCTTATCTTTTTGATGTACTGTTTGATTTGATTTACTAATATTTTGTTTATTATTTTTGTGTCTGTGCTAATTAGGAATATTGATTTATAGTTTTTCGTGTGTGTTCTGTCTGGTTTTGGCATCAAGGTGATACTGGCCTTATAGAATAAGTTAGGGAGAATTCCTTCCACCTTGATTTTTTGGACAGTTTCAGGAGTATTGGATTTTGTTCTTTGTGTATTTGGTAGAATTCAGCTGTGAATCCATCTGGCCTTGTGCTTTTCTTGTTGTTGTTGTTGTTGGAAGATTTTTTATTACTGATTCAATCTTGCTGCTCATTATTGGTCTGTTCAGGAGTACTGTTTCTTCCTGGCTCAATCTCAGTAGGTTTTGTGTTTCCAACATTCAGATTCACAAAACAAAGATTACTAGGCCTAAAGAAAGAGGTAGACAGCAATACAATAACAGTAGGGGACTTTATTGTCCCACTCACAGCACTAGACAGATCATCAAGTCAGAAAATTAACAAAGAAATATTGGACTTCAAACCAAATTGACTTAAAAGACATTTACAACAACTTTCTTCCCAATAAATACAGAATAAATATTCTTTTCATCAGCAAATGGAAAATTCTCCAAGATCAATCACATGTTAAGCCCCAAAACAAGTCTTAGCAAATTTTTAAAAATCAAAATCTTATCAAATACCTTCTCAGAACACAGTGGAATAAGGCTAGAAATCAATAAAAGAGAAACTTCAGAACCTATACACATACATGGAAATTAAAGAGCATGTTCCTTAACGTCACTGGGTGTATTAGTCCATTTTCACTCTGCTGATAAAGACAAACCTGAGACTGGAAAGAAAAAGAGGTTTAATTGGACTTACATTTCCACATGGCTGGGGAGTCCTCAGAATCATGGCGGGAGGCAAAAGGCACTTCTTACACGAGGGTGGCAAGAGCAAATGAGCAAGATGCACAAGTGGAAACCCCTGATGAAATCATCCAATCTTATGAGACTTATTCACTACTATGAGAACAGTAGGGTGTAAAAGCACACCCATAATTCAAATGATCCCCCACTAGGTCCCTCCCACAACACATTGGAATTATGGGAGTATAATTCAAGATGAGATTTGGGTGGAGACACAGCCAAACCATATCATTCCACCCCTGGGCCCTCCAAATCTCATGTCCTCACATTTCAAAACCAATCACACCTTCTCAACAGTCCCCCAGAGTCTTAACTCATTTCAGCATTAACCAAAGTCCATAGTCCAAAGTCTCATCTGAGATAAGGCAAATCCCTTTTACCTATGAGTCAGTAAAATCAAAAGCAAGCTAGTTACTTCCTAGATACAATGGGGGTACAGGTACTGGGTAAGTACAGCCACTGCAAATGGGAGAAATTGGCCAAAACAAAGTGGCTATGGGGCCCATGCAAGTCTGAAATCTACTGGGGCAGTCAAATTTTAAAGCTCCGAAATGATCTCTTTTAACTCCAGGTCTTGCATCCAGTCACACTGATGCAAGAGGTGGTTCCCATGGTCTTGGGCAGCTCTACCCCTGTGGCTTTACAGGGTACAGCCTCTCTCCTAGCTGCTTTCATGCCTTGAGTGTCTGCAGCTTTTCCAGGAGCATGGTCCAGACTGTCAGTGGATCTCCCATTCTGGGATCTGGAGGATAGTGGCCCTCTTCTCATAGCTCCACTAGGCAGTGCCCCAGTAGGGACTCAGTTTGGGGGCTTCTGACCCCACATTTCCCTTCCACACTGCCCTAGCAGAGATTCTCCATGAGTGCCCTGCCCCTGCAGCAAAGTTCTGCCTGGGCATCCAGGCATTTCTATACGTCTTCTGAAATCTAGGCAGAGGTTCCCAACCCCAATTCTTGACTTCTGTGCACTCGCAGCTCAACACCATGTGGAAGCTGACAAGGCATGGAGCTTGCACCTTCTGAGCCACACCCCAAGCTCTGCATTGGCCCCTTTCAGCCACAGCGAGAGAGACTGGGACACAGGGTACAAAGTCCTTGGGCTGCACACAGCACGGGACCATGGACCAGCCCAGGAAACCATTTTCTTCTAGGCCTCTGGGCCAGTGATGTTAGGGACTACTGTGAAGACCTTAGACATGCCCTGGAGACATTTTCCCTGTTGTCTTGGGGATTAACATTCAGCTCCTCATTACTCATGCAAATTATTGCAGCTGGCTTTAATTTCACCTCAGCAAATGGTTTTTTCTTTTCTATCACATTGTCAGGCTGCAAATTTTCCAAACTTTTGGTCAGGTGCGGTGGTTCAAGCCTGTAATACCAGCACTTTGGGAGGCCAAGGCAGGTGGATCATGAGGTCAAGAGATCAAGACCATCCTGGTCAACATGGTGAAACCCCGTCTCTACTAAACATACAAAAAATTAGCTGGGCATAGTGGCGCGTGCTTGTAATCCCAGCTACTCAGGAGGCTGAGGCAGGAGAATTGCCTGAACCCAGGAGGCGGAGGTTGCAGTGAGCCGAGATTGTGCCATTGCACTCCAGCCTGGGTAACAAAAGCAAAACTCCAACTCAAAAAAAAAAAAAAAAAAATTCCAAACTGTTATGCTCTGCTTTCCTTGTAAAACTGAATGCTTATAACAGCACCCAAGTCACCTCTTGAATGCTTTGCTACTTAGAAATTTCTTCCACCAATTGCTCTAAATAATCTCAAGTTCAAAGTTCCACAGATCTCTAGGGCAGAGGCAAAATGCCACCAGTGGGTCTTTGCTAAAACATAACAAGAGTCACCTTTGCAAACACATAACAAGAGTCACCTTTGCAAACACATAACAAGAGTCACCTTTGCTCCAGTTCCCAACAAGTTCCTCATCTCCATCTGAGACCACCTCAGCCTGGGCCTTATTGCCCATATCACTATCAGACCTTTGGTCATAGCCATTCAACAAGTGTCTAAGAGGTTCCAAACTTTCCCACATTTTCCTGTCTTCTTCTGAGCCCTCCAAACTGTCCCAACCTCTGCCTGTGTTACCCAGTTCCAGAGCCACTTCCACATTTTCTGATATCTTTTCAGCAACACCCCACTCTACTGGTACCAATTTACTGTATTAGTCCGTTTTCACACTGCAGCTAAAGACATTCCTGAGACTGGAAAGAACAAGAGGTTTAATTGGACTTAAGTTCCACATGGCTGGGGAGGCTTCAAAATCATAATGGGCGGCAAAAGGCACTTCCTATAGGCAGTGGCAAGAGAAAATAGGGAGATGCAAAAATGGAAACCCCTGATAAACCCATCAGATCCCATGAGACTTATTCACTACCATGAGAACAGTATGGGGGGAACCGCCCCCATAATTCAAATCTCTCCCACTTGGTCCCTCCTACAACACATGGGAATTATGAGCGTACAATTCAAGATGAGATTTGGGTGGGGACATAGCCAACCCATATCACTGGGTCAGTGAAGAAATTATAATGGAAATTTAAAAATTTTTTGAGACAAATGAAAATGAACATACTGCCTGCCAAAACCTATGGGATACAGCACAAGCAGTGCTGAGGGAAAATTTATAGCATTAAATGCCTACATCAATAAAATAAAAGATATGAAATTAACAACCTAACATCACATCTCAAGGTACTAGAAAAAGAGCAAACCAAACCCAAAGTTAGCGGAAGAAAAGAGATAAAGATCAGAGCAGAACTAAATGGAACAGAGACCAGAAAAACAATACAGAAGACTGAAAAATGAAAAGTTGGTTCTTTGAAAGGATAAACAAAATTGAGAAACTACTCACTAGACTAACCAAGAAGAAAGTCCAAATAAACACAATCAGAAATGAAAAAAGGAGGCTTTACAACTGATACCAAGAAATAGATACGATCATCAGAGACTATTATGAACAACTATATGCTCACAAACTAGAAAACCAAGGGGAAGTGGCTGCATGTTATCTTTTTAATCCTCACAAGTGTATTATTGAGAAAATGAGTCACATGTCACATTAAGTGACAAATCCAGGTTTTGAGCCTAAGTCTTCCAAGTCCATTGTTTTTTCGGATATCCTATTGTTTCTAAATCTTGGCTACATATTAGAATGGGTAGGAAGCTTTTTCAATTTTGCCAGAGCCTGACTTACTAGGTACTCACAATAGCTGGTAGGGGCGGCTTTGGGAGGCAGAGAAACCAACGTAAGTGCTTCCAGAAAAAGGTAAAAAGAATATTTCAGTGATCTTTAATGTCACTTCCTCTGAAGTCAATAATAGATTTATTATTGACAAAGTATTTATTATTGACAAAGTAGTTTAAAACTTTGTACAGAGAGCTATGAAAATAAAGAATATTTATGGGCTGGGCGCGGTGGCTCAAGCCTGTAATCCCAGCACTTTGGGAGGCTGAGGCGGGTGGATCACGAGGTCAAGAGATCGAGACCATCCTGGTCAACATGGTGTGAAACCCCGTCTCTACTAAAAATACAAAAACTTAGCTGGGCATGGTGGCGTGTGCCTGTAATCCCAGCCACTCGGGAGGCTGAGACAGGAGAATTGCCTGAACCCAGGAAGCGGAGGTTGCAGTGAGCCGAGATCGCGCCATTGCACTCCAGCCTGGGTAACAAGAGAGAAACTCCGTCTCAAAAAAAAAAAAAGAATATTTATGAAAAGGTAAATAAGAATAGCATGAGGTTAAAGAGTTTTGATTTCCCTCAAATACCAAATATCTAGCATTTTAACTCATAAGTCACTCTCTTATTACACAAACCTTATTAAAATCTAAACTAAGCCTGGGTGGGGTGGCTCTGTAATCCCTCCACTTTGGGAGGCGGAGTTTGCAGTGAGCCACGATTGCACCATTGCACTCCAGCCTGGGTTACAGAGTGAGACTCCATCTCAAAAAAAAAAAAAAAGCACACTAAAATATTTTGAAGATAATCTGCTTTAAAAATATAGGTTCAGGATTTCTACATTAAGAATCAAGATCAAACTGAATAAAATTACTCAGAAGAGTCATTTCAGGTTCTTGCTAGACCATAGAGCTAAAAACAATTAACTGGTGTGGAAAACTTATGGAAACACAAGTTCACTGGTGTTTAGCTAAACTTGTGAGTTAAAAGCAGCAGTTAACTGGTGTGGAAATTCAGAATAACAGTGTACTACTGAAAGAGTATTTAATCTCAGCAAGATCTGTTACCATCTGAAAAGTTATTAATGGCAAAAACTGCAATTACTTTTGCACCAACTTAATACTTAGTTCTGTAAATTAGTAGCTATTTGTAAAGGATAAATCTATCCTAGATAGCCCTAATTTCAATATGAAAGTGTTTTTCTTATAATGCTTTCTAACTACAGGATAGGCCATTGGAAACATCTTTTTTTTTTTTTTTTTTTTTTTGAGACAGAGTCTCACTTTGTTGCCAGGCGCCAGGCTGGAGTGCAGTGGTGTGATCTCAGCTCACTGCAACCTCCACCTCCTGGGTTCAAGCAATTCTCCTACCTCAGCCTCCTGAGTAGCTGGGACTACAGGCATGCACCACCATGCCCAGCTGATTTTTGTTTTTTTGGGTTTTTTTTTTTTTTGAGACAGGGTTTCAAAACTCCAGTCTGTTGTTACCCAGGCTGGAGTGCAATGGCATGATCTCGGCTCACGGCAACCTCTGCCTTCTGGGTTCAAGCAATTCTCCTGCCTCAGCCTCCCGAGTAGCTGGGATTACAGGCACGCAACACCACGCCCAGATAATTTTTGTATTTTTAGTAGAGACAGGGTTTCACCATGTTGACCAGGATGGTCTCCATCTCTTGACCTCGTGATCCACCTGCCTTGGCCTCCCAAAGTGATTTTTGTATTTTTAGTGTAGACGGGGTTTCACCATGTTGACCAGGATGATTTCAATCTCTTGACCTCATGATTCACCCGCCTTGGCCTCCCAAAGTGTTGGGATTACAAGTGTGAGCCATTGCACCCGGCCTGGAAACATCTTTAAGTAGAGTGAGTTTAAATGTTTGGTGTAGCATCCCAATTTGCATGTGTTTAAATGGAGTTCCTTATCCTACCCAGGGTGAATTGACTTCATCTATAATCCATCTTCTTAATTCCATGACTGCTGATTTCCTCTAGGAAAGACATCTGTAAGTGGGCCTACTATGCTATGTATCTTCGGTCTCCCCTTTTCTCTCCACCCGCGTCTCCCCCTCAGTCAAAAAACAGGCTGAGACTTCCCACCTTGACAAGGATAGGTGAGAGCAGAGACGAACACCCTCAACACCCTCTGCCTCTACTTAATTTCCCCTCTTGCCATTTCCCAGTACCTTCCCTTTCATTCCTCCAGTGGGATCTGTTCCCTGTCCACCGCCCATTAATTCCTCACCCATGCTTGGCCTTCCAGCACTCCACATTTTATTGTGATTATTACTGCATTTCTCTCCCACTGTAATGGGAGGCAGGTATATTCCCTGCCTCAGAGTCATAAGTATAGAGTAGGTATGCAATAGTAGTTGTATGTTGGATGGATGGATGGATGGATGGATGGATGGGTGGGTGGATGGATGGGTGGATGGGTGGATGGGTGGCTGGATGAGTGGATGGAAATCCATTGTCATCACAGAGCTCACCTTCGACATCCTCATAGTCACTCCATGGACACTTTTCTACTTTCATTTATCTCATTCCACCTTTCAACAGCATTTAACACCGGAGCCTAGCTTATCCATCTTGAAATTCTTCGTAGGCTTCTGTGACCCCATTTGTTTCTGTTTTGCCTCTGTTCTTATGACCATTGTTTTCTCAAGCTCCCTTTACTGGCTCATCTTCTGTCTGTCTCTTCAATGTCCATACTTTCCTGGGTTTTATTCCCAGTTCTCTTTACTCTTCATTTGGTTGCTGGATAATTTGTTCATGCTTGGCTTCAGTTAGCAGCAGTGTGTTGGAGCCAGCTCCTAAAAGCAATTGTGCATATCTCTTCTCAACTATTTCTTCATTGGTCCTCATGTTAGTAGCTTGAAACTGGCCAAGGTGGGAGTATTTACACCATGGAAATTAACAAAAGCTGTGTGTCAGGTCTCCATATGCAAGTCTGGAGCCTGAATGTCAGGTCTCATATGCAAGCCTGGAGCCCAAAATTTTGAAGTCCTGCCTGCCCTGGCTGATGTCTACCCCCACCCCCCCCATCCCCGCCTGCATTCACCGTTGTCCCTAATGGCCCATTGGAGCTTCCCCTACAAGCACCTCACCCAATCCTGCCATCTTAACTCTTCTTATGATAATGTAAATACCTCTCACCCAACCCTGCCATCTTAACAGTTATGATAATGTAAATACCTCTCACCCAATCCTGCCATCTTAACTCTTCTTATGATAATGTAAATACCTCTCACCCAACCCTGCCATCTTAACTCTTCTTATGATAATGTAAATACCTCCCACCCAACCCTGCCATCTTAACAGTTATGATAATGTAAATACCTCTTACCCAACCCTGCCATTGTAACTGAACTTGTGATCTTACTCTGTAACACCCCCGCCCCCTATAAAACTACCCCAACCTATAAAGCCAATTCCCACCTTACCCCCTTCGCCTTTTCCTTTCTCAAATTCGGCCCACTTGCAACCAAGCGAGAAATAAAATGGCTTTGTTGTCCACACAAAGCCTGTTCGAAAGGTCTCTTTATTAAATGCACATCATATTCGGTGCTATTGGACATGAATGACACTGCAGATTAGAGCCTTAGTTTTCTATTTGTTCATTTTTTCTGAGTGCTAGTTTCATGGCACACCACTGGCCTCATCAATGACATATATGTCTCCAGTTCCTAAACTTGCGTTTCACACTTTCTGGGCTCTGTCCATACTTTCCGGCTAATTCCTAACAAGCTCCTCTTGAATGCCCAAATTGAACTCCTTATCTTCTGCCTAAGCAGCCCTCTCCTGCACCAGACTGTGGTTTGGCTAATGGCCCCTCTTGTTCCTTGCAGAAAGCTAAAACTTCTCTGTCCCTCTCTCACTGTATCTAATTGACTAGTATGTATATGTCTCCACCCTGTTTCACAAAAGATTTGGTAGCTTAACGACACATAGTGGAACAGGACAGAATAATTTCTATCACAGTGACAGTAAAGGAGGGGATCTGAGCGCAGGAGACATAAGCCAAGAAGAAGAAATGAAGCCTGAGTCCATCTTTGCCAGCAGCTGCAGTATCTTGGCCTCCATGCCCCTAGCCTACTTACTTTTCCCCACGCTCACATTCACTTTCCACAGAGATGATTATTAAACTCTAACCTAATCTTTTCTCTTAACCAGAAACTTTCAGTAGCTCTCCACTTCCTTTGGGATAAAGTTCAAGCACACACCCAGAGAAAACCTCTACCACAAGATTTTTGGTTTCTTCTTTAAGACTTAGCTATGGCATTGGTACTCTGTGAAGTCTTCTGTGCCTCCCAGAGGCTCTTCTGCTGTGTATCTGTATCCGTCATAGATATCTCAGTTACTGATTCAATTTACAGTTGTTGAATGCCAGCTTTTTGCCATTAATTGTATTTAGTGTTAGGATACTGAATAAAGCGGTTCTTATTTTTTAAGGATCTCTAGGTGAGGAAACATATTTAAGCAAATTTTAGAAAGTATGAGAAGCTCCCGCTGTAGCAGGGAGGAAGAGGGCCACTGTCTCGTAGCACATATCACATTCTTTTGTGATTATTACTGCGTTTCTCTCCCACTGGAATGGGAGGCGTGTATGTACCGTGTATCATAGTCATAAGTATAGAGTAGGTGTGCAATAGTAATTGTATGTTGGATGGATGGATGGATGGATGGATGGATAGATGGGTGGAGGGTGGATGGGTAGATGGGTGGATGGATGGGTGGATAGATGGATGGCTGGATGGGTGGATGGATGGATGGGTGGATGGGTGGATGGGTGGATGGGTGGGTGGATGGGTGGATGGGTGGATGGGTGGATGGATGGATGGGTGGATGGGTGGATGGATGGGTGGATGGATGGATGGATGGGTGGATGGGTGGATGGGTGGGTGGATGGATGGGTGGATGGCTGGATGGATGGATGGATGGATGGGTGGATGGGTGGATGGATGGATGGATGGGTAGATGGGTGGATGGATGGGTGGATGGGTAGAGGGGTGGATGGGTAGATGGATGGGTGGATGGATGGATGGATGGGTGGATGGGTGGGTGGATGGATGGATGGGTGGATGGGTGGGTGGATGGATGGGTGGATGGGTGGATGGGTGGATGGATGGGTGGATGGATGGGTGGGTGGATGGTTGGATGGGTGGATGAATGGATGGGTGGATGGGTGGATGGATGGGTGGATGGATGGATGGATGGA